GGCTCCTGCTGGGGACCCCCCGCACTGCCTAGGACACCGGCCCGCTCAGCTGCGTTTCCAGCGCAGCTAATTCCTCCTCGACAACGTTTAACTGGCTGGACTTGAATGAGTACTAGTTTTTTTAAAATCAGTTTAAGTAAGGAATAATTACAAGTATTAAAGAGATTAGTGGCTTTGTCGGTCTGGCCTGTTTATTACTAGTGACAGTGCACCGTTTATAGACACTGCTTTTAGACTTATGGTTGCACTAAAAGAGCGCAAGAGAATATCTCAGAGCTGGACTATGCCTATTAGTTTACCTAATTCAACGTTTTCTCATTGCTTTTTCTTACAGTATTTTCATTAGAGCTTTCTTCAGTGCAGGTTTAAACACTGAACATTTGGAATTGCATCACTTTCTCTGAAAATCTGTCCAGCAACCAGGCGATAATAAATTGCTGGATTCTGGAGGAATCTTTTGGGATAAATCCCATGGCCAAATCTCATTATTATTCTCCTTCTGGGTAATTTCCTGAGACTAACACGATCAAAGGCCCTCCTCCCCTGGGATTCTTCTGGGTCAACTGAGTTAGCCCAAGTTATCCTAATTTAGGTCAAGAAAATATTTTGGTCCACCTTTACCAAAGCTGATGCTGTACGTTATCAAAGAGCAGCCGTCACCGAAGGCTGGGAGAAAACAACTCAGCAGCCATTCGGGATCACTTTGCTCCAGTATTGGAAGATGAAAGCAAAGGAAACATCATTGTACTTCCCTGCCTCCGGACAGCCTGCGAGTTCGGGGTGTTGAAGCAAAGTGCTTAAGCACAGGACTGGAGTTAAGCACAAGATTATCTATTTTGCAGAGTCAGGATGGACTGCTGACTTGAGTCTAAGTCAGCATGTAAGCTTCTTACTACTATAGCATCTCATTTTCTAGATTATTAAAAGGTAACTTACTTTCAAAGGAGAGGCTCGCTGACTCTGGAAGCACATACAGTTCTTGTTTTCCTTGCAAATTAATTCCCTTTGGGATGCGAGAAGGCAGTTTTTCAAGACTGTCAGTAAGTACCCAGTTGTATTAGAGGACATCAGTCAACTCTCGCAGTTGGCTCTGAGATGAACTGACTGGGTGGATTTTTATTTTATTATTTTTTAGGAAGAGGAATAGAACATCTCCCCTCCCTCACAGCCACCCATACACACAGTATTTCAAGGGAAGTCCGATTTGCTGGTGCTCCTTGAAACTGGGAGACAATTCCTGGGAGTTTGAGTCACTTTATCTTTTCCCGCAGCCACGGGGAGGGACAGAAAGCACCGGTGTTCTGCAAAGGCGGTGCTGGGGAGCTGAACTTTCTAGACAGCAGATCACTGAGGATCCGCCTTGAGGAACACTGTTGACTTGTCAGTGGTTTCCCCACCTCGAGTCCACAGCCCCACGTCTGCCAGGCTAGGAGCCCAGTTGTCTGGGAAGAGGGGAATGAGCATTTCTTATACTTCTTTTTATGGTAACTCCATTCCTCAAATACAAAGGACTCCATCAATCTGAACAGTGTGACCTTTTGAGGTTGGGGTTTTTTTTTTTCCCCCCGTTTGATCTTCAGAAAAAGCCTCTTCCTACAACAGGCGGATGCTGTCTACGACTGGGACATTCAAATCACTGATAGCTGGGCCTGCGGCAATGAGACATGGCAGATGGGAACGAACCTGCTGGCTGGTGACACTGGCACCTCCAGGCTGTCCAAGGGTCACTACTGGTGCCCCCTTGCCCGGTCTGCGCGAACGCCGACGGGGCAGGCAGCGTAACACACGTGCTGCAGGGGGAACGGCTGCAGAGAGATGTCTTCACTGAGGCAAAGAGCATACCAGCTGTGTTAATTGTGTGCAGATGGGTAAGAAAGACCATGTTTGAGAAAGGAAAGAGTCAGCAATTAGGAAAGACAAGCCACCATCACATTCGTAGCGTTCATAAACTCTTACTGTTAGCCAGCAAGTACCTTAATGAACGTTTCCATATTGCCGTTAAAGAGCTTATGATTATAGACTGAGAGAGGCCTAGGTCTCCTCATTTTCTGTGGTTTAGGGGGAAGACATGGGGGCCTGGGAGAAAATGGAACAAAAGAAATCAACAAAACACCAACATAAATACAACAACAGGGTGAGATCTTAAATCAAAAAATAAATCAACAAATAAGAAAATCCCTCTGTGAGGACTAGACATTTGGCTCCCAGCACGCTCTGCACCTGCTCACACGTGAGCTTTTCCCCTGGGCTGTGTCCCTCCTCGCTGACTCTGCTGACTCTGCGCCAGAGGAGCTGGCCGGGAGCTGCGTCCTCACCTCCGCATCGTCCAGGAGCTCCCACCACCTCCGGCTACATGGCCCGGGCTCCTGGGGCCAGGCTACTTGCTTATTCCAAAGCCCTGTCCAGCAGCCTGAAGGGGGCCAGCCTTGTGCCAACTCGGCTGACCCGTCCTGCACCCAGCCCCAGGATGACCTTGCTTCACGCACTGCAGATCCCAACGAGCCGGCTGCGCTCGGACGCGGCTGGGAGGCATCTGAACACGAAGCGGAGCTATCTGCCAGCAGCTCAGAGCAGATTCAGAGCTCTTCACTGTAAGCTGCGCACTTGATTTCAAGTCAAGGTCGTGACTAAGTTCAAAGGAATCTTGACAATAGAAACACTTAAGAGCAATAAGCCAACCTGCCCATTACTTTCCATCCCCATAATCTCCCAGTATTTCGCTATCAGACACTCACTAACCTCAGTTGCAGTCACATACAGCAATCTGACTAGCTGTTGCTAAAGGCCTCCTGACGAGTCCTAGTGCTGCCCATAAAACACGATCACCTCCAGAAATCAGACAGGGACATAGCAATAAGCATGTCTTAATGAACAAACTGTGACTAGAAACGTTCCTCATGCAGAACTTTCTTCATTCAAGTCAGAGAATAATAAAGCTGCTAAACACCGCCGGTCGCAACTCTGCAGCACCCACAACCCGCGGACGTAACTCCCCCTCTGAGACGCCACGCATCACAGCTGCTGCTCAGCGGTTGCGCTAGCACCAGGCACGACGTCTGAGAAGTAAAACGATGGGCACTGGTGCGTTAGCAGGCATGTTAACGCTTGCCTGCTGCTTGCCCCAGTTCAGCACTCCGTCACCCTGAACAAGCACTACGAACAGCTAAAAAGTTCAACCGATTCCTTGACAGAACCACAATAAGCTACAGTTGACGTCAGGAAAACACAGGGAAAATCCCGTTTATTCCTGAACGGCCCTCATTCTACTCTTAGACAGAGAGGAGGAGGGAAGTGGGGACACCTCCACCGCTCTGTACCTAACTTTTGTTTGGGAGACATTCACAGGCACGTGGCCTTCAATCGTTCTGGCAGGCACTCGCAAAGGTGCCAGTCTATTTTCTGAAAAACCCAGGATCCCAAGATTAAAAAAAAAAAGAGATCCAAAATCAAAACCAACAAAAAGTGACCTAGTCAACACACAAGCAAACCCACAACTTCAAGACAAGGGGCGCAGCACAGAGCCCTCCCGCAGCTCCGCAGGGACGCGGACGGCGGGCACCCCCGTCAGAAAGCAGAGCGATCCTACCCCCTGCTAGCTAGCGACCGAGGGACCTCATCAACAGTGAGGAGCAGATCTTGAAGACCCTGCTGACTTCAGCAAGGCTTACAGATGCCCATTGCTTCTGCAAATGAGGCCACAGAAACGTGTGGCTTATTTTAGTGCAGTGGTCAGGCTTTTGGAGGGCCACTTCTCACTAACATTATTCACACTTTGATTTCTTCTTCTGACAATTAAAGATGTAAGATCAAGTACCTAGATCTATGCAAGGGAGAAAAACGGCGAGTTCTAATCTGTCCTTACCCCCTGCTATATTGCTGCCTGCAGAGGAGGAGAGATCATGACTGCAGACAAAATCAGTGCTAGCAGCCTGCATGCAAGAGTTCTCCCAGAGCCGAGCTGAACGGACATGCACGTTTTACAAAAGCCAAAGATGCAAAGGTGATAGTTGTGATCCACTGGTACCTTAATCAGGTCCCTTTAATTAAAGGAAACAATGTGACTCTACACTCTCACAGCTTATAACCATTCCTTGAACTGGCAGCTGAGGAGCAGCAGTGACCGCTGCCCAGGGAAGCGCCCGCCCGACCCGCAGCCGAGCGGCCACGCGCTGCAGCCCCGTGACAGCCAGGGCCGTTTGCTGCTGTGCCATTTCCTCTCGCTGCATGAGGCCCTGGCGCCGCGAGGCCGGGGCCCTCCGGCCTCCACGCTGCGGGCAGGAAGGCTGTCTGGCTACACTCACCCCGCTGCCCCGCGCAAAAGAGATTTTCTCCTGTTTGTTTTCCTTTGTGATGTAAGAGTAAATGCTGAAACAAAAGCAAACAGAAGCAGCAGGGAGCTGTGCCATCATCCCGCACGTAGGAGGCTCTTATTCACTCCCTTGGTTTTTCTGGCCTGCCGTAGCACCGCTCCAGCGGCACCCGCGCCCGATAAAGCGAGCGCCCAAGACCAAACTCTCAGTCTGCTTTTCCCTAGTTGCTTCGGTGTCTTTCATCGCTCAGTTCAGGAGATGACCCTGCCTGGTACCTAAAGGACCAGAGCTCAACTCTCAGACTGTCCCTGCAACCCCTCACCTGCCATGTAAACGCAAACACATCTGGGGCATTTCAGGTCTTAGGCAACGCTGCATGGCAGCTGGCTTCCTATGGTGTTTTTGAAGATCACCTGGGAAAGGCAGAGATGACAGAGCAGCAGCTGCTGGCACAACCAATGATCTGAAAAGGACCTGAGAGCACAGGTCTCAGAGGTCAACGGCCAGCGAGGGTGCAAGCAGGCGTCTCCTCTCGCACGGCTACGAGCGACTCCCCGCAGGGTATCTCTGCGGCGGTACAGCAGCAGAACGAGGCTGGGGCCTTTGCAGCTCGAGGACGAGCCCCTGCCCATCTGGAAATGGCAG